ACCAGTTTGATGGTGCTCAGCTGATCAACTGGTTGATCCACTATGTGAAGGTGATTATTTACAAGACTGAGTTTCTTCTCCTCGGACTGATGGAGTCTTCTGGATGAAAGACGAAACGTTTCCACAAAAACAAACCGTCCAGAGGACCTGACTCAACTTTGATGGAGATCATTTAAAAAGTTAATTTTGTTAGTTTGAAAGTTTGTAATAGGGATGCACGATATTATCGGCGTGGTATCGGCTGATATTAGCGATAAAGTTAAATATCGGACATTCCATCAAAATAACTCACAGACATAAAAGGTGCTGTTTATAAATTTATGTAATTTATTTATTAAAGGTGCTGTTTTTGTATGACAACCCAGAGACAAGGACGCCTGCAGCACCAGTTATGACGTCACGCGTGTACCTGAACTGATCACGGCGAGAGAGGAAGACGTGAAAATGTTGGAGGTGTGGAAGTTTTTTTAAAGTGTCGGAAACCGACAGCAGAACTGCTAGTTGCAATGACTGCTCAGCGTCAATGATGAAAGGAGGGAAAACAAGACCTACAACACTTTGAACCTAATTAACCATTATTAACATTATTAACATTATTACCTGCAGTGTTCCCTCAGTGAGAACTGAACTTGGCAAAAACGGCCTTCTCCTACTCCGCTCCTGTTTCCTGGAATATCTTACAAAAAGACCTGAAGCTCTCGACCTTTGACCTCTCTAAGTGGCTTTAAGAATCTGTTGGACTCCTGGCAGGGACCAACGCAGACATGTTCCTGTTTTTAGTTTTCTACAGTCGCCTTAGAATCTAGCTGTTTTTTGTTACTTTTCTTTTTTTTAGCCTTCCTTTTCGTTTAAAAAAAAATAATGAATTGTATGACTTTTTATAACTGTTTATTGTTGTCCATTGTTGTCATCATTCTTAGTTGAAATCAGGTCTCTCTTGTAAATGAGTCCTCGAGGCTCAATGGGATTTACCTGTCTAAATAAATGTTGAATGAAAAACAAAATGTCATGAATAAATTTGACATAAAACATAAGCGAAGTTGAAGCGTTACATCATTTTCAGCCCCCCTTTTGGTATCTGCGTTTGGTAGCAGGCCAAATAAAGACCATGCAGAATAATGTAGTATTTTAATTCCACAGCAGAGAAAGTTATGTAGTCTCTGTAAGTAGGTCTAGGAAAAAAATTGGTATTGGTATCAGTTATTGGCCAAATAAGTTTTAACATACTGGCGTATCGGATGTCAGCCAAAAATCCAATATTGTGCATTCAGTTAGTAAAGATTTTAATGAAGCACCTGAACAAACAGGAGCGGCCACAGACTCTCTTCTTTTTTTGATGGCTACTCTGCACCGTGAGAAAAGCAAGCAGGCTTGTGTGTCCGCAGCATCTGATTTGTGTCACGTTATTATGCGACACCTCCCTGACAAGTCGACGCTTAAGGGCCTAAGGCATGTGTAAAAGCCTCGGGGGAAGAGGAGACTCTTCCTCTACTTTATCCCGAGCTTTGAAATAAAATTTTTTAAAGTGTCAGGCACCGTTTTATGAAATGTTAGGATTAAACTCTTTTTGTAACAGTTCCTACCTTTTGTGTAAATCCCCAGAGCTTTCAAACTCACCGTGCCAAAAATACACCGTGCTCAAGAGTTCTCCTTAATTCACGGCGCACAACTACGAACCCTGTCTGACGTGCAGCGTACGTCAGAACAAACTAAACCAGGGCTTCGCACCCCCCCACAAATAAAGAAGCTTACTTGATCTCAGTGGGTGTTTAATAGAAACTCACTGCTGTGTTCCAATCTAATTCTGTAGCAACATGACTCTCTGAATTCTCTTCAAAAGCAAGAAAACAAACCATTTTTACAACAGCAGCGGCGAGACCGTCAGCGGGCAACCCTGCAGCTAAACCTCCGCCGGTCGGGTCATGATGCAACGCGGCGGCAACTGCTGCATTTTAACGCATTCAGGTGAAATGAGGTTCGTACGTCTACCGGAAATAAACACACACACCCCTCCCTCAGCACTTTAAGTAAAAATGAGATCTCACCCCAGATGGATTTGGGGTGTTTAGATTTAAGAGCTAAGATTAAAATGTTTGGTTGACAAGGCTGAGAAAGGAATTACGCGAATCTCAAAGGACTGGATATTACACACATTAAAAGTTAAATATTTAGATGTGAAAACAGCGCCCGAGACTCAAGGACAGCTTTAATGAGACAGATACAAGTCCAAGCCCTGCTGCTGCATTCATGCACTCTACAAAAATAAGCTGCTTTATATCTAGTGCAGCTCGTGGCCCGAGGAGGGGAGAATGTAAGAGCATGCCAATGAGGCGAGTTTGTCCTCTGCTGTTTGTACAGAGGCATTACAGAATGGAAAGATTAACAGAGACCGTTTTATGCTGTTTCTGTCCAGATAGAACATATTTAAGCAAAAATCACTTAGAAGAATAAATGCTTTTGTTACTAAATGTATTATTTCTAATAATATTTACATCAAATCAGAGGTGAAGAGATGGAAGTTAGCCAATAATTGGGCCCTAATTGGACCAATTATTGTTTTGTTTTTTTAAATAAGTGGCGTTTGATTTGTCTGAGCATTCTGTCTTGTTCACATGTGAACAATCTCTGGAAACGTTCGCATTTGTTCAGTGTTGATTGTGGCAAATCAGCATAAAAAGCATGTTTACATTGTGATGCTGCGTTTGTAGTTTTCATGCCGGGACTAGCTGGCGCAGTGATTTTTGGATTTTGTGATGCAGATAATTCTGGCTGGAGCATGAAAACAGTTGCATCCAAAATCGCGAATAGATAAATCTTTGTTTGGACCAAGGATGAGGTTGGGTTGCTGCTACACGTTGAAAACAGGGAGCAGCACAAACAGCACTCTGCTATCCACCATTGTTACCGTTATTCATATACTCGCGTAGAAAAAACTGTGGACTGCAGCTGTCCGTACGCTGGGCATTTCCAAAAACGTCCACTTCAAATAGCTTCAGATTCAGAGAAACCGAGCGCTGTTGGAAGTGTACACAAACGGCAAAATCCAGCAGAGAGCTACGGTTCTACTCAAAAACAGCGTTGTGTGAACTGGGCCTGAGCTGATTAACAGAAAAGCACATCTGTGGGCAACAGTGTTGTTACACCCTGATGTCAAACTGCTTTCTGAGAGAATAGATTATATTATGTGGCCACTAGCAGACCCAAAAGGAAGTAGACCATCAAATTACGGCTTCATTTGTAAAGAACAAGGTTGCATTGGCCACTGATAACTGCAGGGCTTTAATAAATGCAGAAATCTGGGAATTAGATTAAAACATTTCAGAGCCATGCTGTCTTCACTAGTGATTATCACACACTGGGAAAAAAAAACAACAATTAATTGTTTCCTGAAGCTTTGTTTTTTGTTTTATTTATCAAAATCTACATTACAATATGTATAAATAATAAACTGTTAGTTATAGGCCAATTAAAAAAAATGGCATTTGCGCTTTTTCTTTTATTCCTCAACCTTTAGCTGTCCTATTTCTTCTCAGAGTATCAAAAAAATGGAATGATAGTCAACTTTGGCATAAAAACAATCCAAGAGCCCAAATATTTTCTAATGAAAATAAAGTTTAGTTGAGCTTGGAAACTCTTTTTAAGTACATAAAACCTCAGATAAAATTAAACCTCGTCAAAACTTTTCAAAAATATTATATTTTGCTAAACTTTTTAAACAAATACAAAAATAGTAGTAATAATATGTACAGTTTTGGGTAACACCATTTTTTTTTTTTCATACAACCTTTATTTAGACAGGTAAATCCCATTGAGCCTCCAGAACTCATTTACAAGAGAGACCTGATTTCAACAAAGAAAGATGACAACAATGGACAACAGCAACAACAATAAACAGTTATAAAAAGGCATACAGATTTTTTTTTTTTTTTAACTAATAGGATGGCTAAAAAAAGAAAAGTAACAAAAAACAGCTAGATTCTAAGGCGACTGTAGAAAACTAAAAACAGGAACATGTCTGCATTGGTCCCTGCCAGGAGTCCAACAGATAACCAGTGAATGCAGGGTGCAGTGGTGGGTACGATACTCACAGCCATTTTAAAAGAAGAAAACAATAAGAAATGTCTAGCTGTACAATTCTTATTTTCTTATTTAAATAAAAACAAACATCTTTCTGCTGCTCTCTTCTTCAGGGCTCACCACAGCGAAAGCAAAGACTTGGCATTTGTTTTTGTGCCTGATGTTATTTCTGACACAACCACCGAGCTACCACAGCCCTCTGTGTGGAGCAGAGAGCTGCCATCTGCACCCGGGGGGGTGGGGGGGGGGCAGATGGTGGGGGGTAAGGGCCTTGCTCAGGGGCCCAGGGTGGGGCACACGTGAAGGTGCTTCATCTTTCCCACCCACATATTTGATGGTGTCAAGTCTGGGGAGTCGAACCGGCAACCTTCCAATCACAGGCTCGCCTTCTCTAACCTCTGCTCCACCACTCCCCACGCAATAGAATAATTATTTTAAATGAACAATGAATGCGCTTAAATTATTTTTTTATGAGGCTCATAAAGATTATTTAGGAATCTAGACTTTACCGATTGATAATATTTTTATTATTTTAACTGCTTAAATGCGCAGTTAACAAGTGACTTGTACTAAAATGCGTTTTATAAATGTAGCACATGAGAAAACAAACATCCTCGTTGGGGGACCTTTAAACAGACTGGCCCTTGTTTGTAAATCAACCCTGTAGCTCCAGCTAACAGCAGCTAAACTACAACACCTTTAATTAGCCCAATATTTAGACAAACTTGCGGTCGTGAAAATAAAGATTAAAATAACACGTATACTATATTTTAAAAATTGGACTTCGTTCGAAAAATCTACTAAAAACAAGTTCGAGCATCAGCGTTATCTCCCCGCCATGATGATGCTAACGCGTTAGCATGTGATAACCATTACTCTGTGGAAAGACAGCGGTCAGCGAACAATCCAGCAGGAACACTTACCAGTCCCTCAATTTGGATCTGCTTGACTGGAGAGTCCAGAGTCCCGCCTGTAGAAGCCATCTCTACGGTAGACGCTGAACTTGATTCTTTACGGGAAGACATGAGCCGGTCCACGCCAGAAACAGAAAAGGGGGAAAGAATTAGATGGCGCACGTTTCCGCTAAAAGTGCACCTCTTACACAGTCCGTGTAGAAACAGGTTCATGTGAACGCAGTCACTCCACGTCAAAACATTTATTTAACCAATAAGATAAGGCACTCAGGTCAAGTGTCAGCAGTGTTCAGCACATGTTCTACCATAAGCTAGTTGAACATGTACTATCAAAAAAAAAATAAAGATACTGTCCAGATGGCCTGACTGAGCATTATTGAACATTTTGAAAAAAAAATTCAATTTTCTCAAATGTAAAAAAAAACTTGCTTAAATTTTTGCATTTCAGATTCGATTTTCAATTCAATTCAATTCAAATTCTATTCAAAAATACTTTATTAATCCCAAAGGAGAATTATTTTGTTGTTGTAACTCGTTATCCTCATTTCATTAAGATATGTTATAGATGCTGGTGGCTGTAGACAGGAAGGATCTCTTGTAAAGGTCCATCCCACAGTGGATCCTAAGAAAATGGCTGCAGATACCGTCCGATCCGTCCACCCAGACTCGGCTGACCTCTCAGTTCCCCTAGACTGTAGGACCGCTTGAATGCTGGGCAGAACTCCTCCCAGAGCGATGGCCACTTCTCCCAGCAGTCTGCCGAGCTCCTGGTCGCTGCGGACAGCCGATTGTAGGTGCTGAGGGACGATCCTGTCCTTCCGCTGTCGTGAGCCGTGTTTCCTGCTAGTTCCAGGATCTCAGTGGTCAGGCACTCGAGCACAGCTGGCAGGTAGATGAGAATGCGTCCACAGAACATCCTTTTCAACTCATTTGAGAGTTGGGGCCACAGTTAAGATATTATTTGAGCTTTTGAGATGCTAATCAGCTGCTGTTGTTGTAGAAAACAGCCTTGTTGCCATGGTTACGCATCATAACAAATGTCCAAAACTTAAAAAGTTTCAGTAAAAATCCTTTCATCTGCACAGCATCTGATACCAGAGGAAACAATCATCCAAAAAATGTGATTTACATTTACATTTTCAAGATGTAAACAAGAACTCAATAACTAAGATAAGTTCAAAATCTGGTTAAATTATTTGAACCTGAATATAAAATAATTCAATTTAAAATAATAAACAACTTGTTACTTAACCAAGTTTTTAAAACACTTTATTTCAAATCTTTACAGATGTATCACAACTAGAAGTTACCCAGAGTCTAAGGTGGGATAGTGAACTTAACTGTAACAAAAGAACATTACCTAGTTACATAACGCAAAAAGGCAAACAAGCATAAACAAACCAAATAAAAAGGGTACAAAAAATGAAAAAATTTACATAAAATCGATAAACTGCTTGAATTGTACAACTGAAACATATTTAATGCCAGATACAGTTCACCTATTCAGTGAAAGTTTACCCTTTTTTTGTTGAAAAAAAAAAAAAAGTGCAACAGGGAGAAGATGGGAGAGGTTACACTTCTGAACAATAACAGTACCATTCCAGAACAGAGTCAGTACAAGAACACACCTGATACGCTGGGCTTTTATCTAAAATATTTTAGTTGAGAGGGGCTGATACAAAAAGTTTAATAAGAGCAGACAACAGAAATTTAACTTATAAAATATCAAGCGAAGCTTACAAATTGGTGTCTGAAAAGGGCTCCTTTATAAATATATTTGTAAAACATTCCTAACTCCGTTTGAAGCAAGAATACTGCATGATTCCATCTGTAGTACAGTAAAATTGTTCTTTTAAAAGTTCCCAACCCTTTCCTCACTACCCACCCCACCCCAAAAGGGGAAAAAAAAACTGTTTTGACAGTAAACAAAATAAAAAAAGGCAAAGAGTTGTTAGTTATTGTTTTTGTAAGCCTATTGCAAGCAGTGTGTTGTTCTTCCAATGTCTAAATGAGGTGGAATTTTGGTCCGGCTGAGGCAACGATGTCGCTGTAGGGCTGAGTCTGGGTGACTTCGATGGCTTGCTGCTTCTTGAGGACGAGAAAACTGTAAAACTTGGCGGCTGCCTGCTTCTTGTTGTCGTTCCTGCACAAGTCAAGCAGGCTGACGGAGTCTGCGCCGGTCTTCGCCATGACACGCTGCAAGGAGAAAGGCACAGGATAAAAGAAAAAAATGAGTCAGTGCATTAATGAAAACTACTAAGTGAAAACTGATGTTTTCTTGGTTTTTTTTACCTGTAGACCATGCAGCATCTGCTGGGTTCTCTTGTTCCACCTCTTCTCCTCCTGATCCTGGTCTCCGGCCTGACCTTCCTCCTCCTAAGAACCAGACAACGATTAGAATCAACCAGGAGGCACCAACTGAGCTCATGTAGACACTTTCAGTTTTCCTTAGTAAGTTATCCATCTTAAACAATCCTCTTCACTTGTTTGTTGGGATGCTCAAGATGAGAGTCTGCGGTGGAGTTAAATTCAAAGCAGTCTGCTCCTCAGGTAAATAATGTTAAATTATTTTTATATAAGAATGTGTCTGTTCAGTGACCTGAGATGACTTCTGTTGACTTGGTGCTACATAAATAAACTGAATTGATTTGGATGATGTCCCCTCACCTCTTCTTCATCGAGCTCGTCCTTCTTTGTTCCCTTCTCGTTGAGAAGATCAAGCTCTGGGACGAGCTGAGTGAGGTCCAGATTGCTTGCCTCTGGAGGATTATCAACATGAGACAGGTCTAACCTCTGCGTCAGGTCTGAGTGCTCTGCCATTTGCTGCTGCTGCTCCAAAGGAGCCATCTGAAAGAGGACAGGAGTGACCAAACTTCAATTACACCAACAACAACGTCTTCTTTTATGCATCCAGGGTGGATGTCAAACCACACCAGCTGGGGGGACTTACAGGAATGGTGGTCTCTTTGTCCAGAGTCTTGCGTTTAACACCACGGGGGGTGGATGGAGGAGGCATGACGGTTTCATCCAGTGTTGTCCTGCTGCCCTCCATCACTGAGGCTGCCAGTATGCTGGGCTCCTCCATGATAGTCTGGTCTGATAGACGGGTCGTAAAAATGTGAAGGTAACGTAAAGACCAGTCATTAACCGATCGTGGTTTGTGTTTGTCTAAATAAAAATCATGACCTACCAATAACATCCCTGTGCTGAGGCAGGACCTCCTCTCGTGGCACCTCTGGGTTCTCCAGTTCTTTGAGGAACTCATCCAGACTGTCTGCTTCTCCACCCTTCCTCCTCTTCCTCAGCTCGTCTGGCACCAGAGGCGTCAGACAGCGTGTGAACATCTGCAAATGCAAGAAAAGTTCATTTTTACAGAAATATAAACCTTTATGAAAGAGGACGAAAAGAACTAAAATTATGCACCGACATGTTTTCTATTCAGGAGTAAGACGAATGTGAAACGGCATAAACAATCCATTCCTTCCTAAACCTTTTGCTGCTTCAGTGCTTTCAATTAAAATCTGAACAGAATGTTAATTATTGTTTGAAATAAACTCTCACCTGATTGGGTTTTACTACTTTGACATTAAAATCTCTGCAGTAAAACGGTTCTACAAATGGTAATACTGCTTCAATGTGATTTTAGAACAGCTGCTAATTGTTTTAAGCTCTTCCTGGGCTTGAACGTGCGGCCTCAGGATTACATGACCGCAGGCCCAGCAGTTCTAAGCATGTATTATCCACAAACAAAGATTTCTTATGAGCAGGTGGTACCTTCAGCAGCCTGGCATTCCAGAGGGGCTGAGCAGGCAGGGAGAAGAGCTTCTCCACTCCTCCAGTCTCTTTCCACATCATGAGCTTCTTGGTGGGAGGAGCGAGGTCCAGAGTGGTCACAATGTCAGAGTAGTCAGACAGCTGGGCTCTGATGGTTTTACTGTCCAGCTCCTTCACGCTGTCCACAATTAGCTTCCTCTTACGCTTTGCCTTGGTCTCTTTCACTGGAAACCAAGAGAGGAAAAGAAATTAAGAAAAAAAGAGCTTCACTGAACTTCATCAGTTTCAATATGAACAGGTAAAAGATATGCTCCCATCATTAATATAAATGTTTACAATCCATTATTAATATAAATGTTTACAATCCATTATTAATATAAATGTTTACAATCCATTATTAATATAAATGTTTACAATCCATCATTAATATAAATGTTTACAATCCATTATTAATATAAGTGTTTACAATAATTTTATAGTGGCACTGAATTTAAGTACAGATGCAGGTTTAGATTTCAGATGAACTTCATTTTATTTATTAAGACACTGTCAATTAAAAAACGACTTGAGCCTGTGTGTTATACACGAGGCATTACTGCAACTGCTGAAATGCAAATGTGATGCATTCTAATGAGCTCTCAAAAGGCTTGCTGCACCAGCTCTCATTATTCTCCATTAAACATTAAGGTTGTTTTTCCATAATACTCTTTCCTTAGGACTGGGCTGCAACAACCAATTAAAACTAATGCTTAATTTTTGGCAGTCAACTCCATGGATTGCATGGGTCAGGTGAGGAAAAATATGAAATTATTATTTATGTCTGCATTATTACCAAGTGGCAGTACAGCCTGTGCAGAAAAACTACACAACTAAAGTCCAAAGTACGGGAGCATTTGATATAAAAACAGCATCAAAATGTGAACATTTTGCTTAGTAGCACAACAAAAACACCAACAGAACAAGGATGGGTCTCTGTTAACTGCCTCAGCATCAGAATAACTCAAGTTTACAGAACATTATCAGAGTCTAATCAAAACTATTAGTGCAAACTATAATTTGCAACAGTGATCCCAACGGTACAATACGAACACATTTTAAGCAATTTAAAAATAAAAAAAAGTTCTAGCAAACTGACAAAACCCAAAAGACATCCAGGAAATTTTAAATCTTTCCTGCAAAAACGAGCATGACTCAAAAGGGTTTTTGAATGAATAAAGATCAAGCGGGGCCTACCGGTGATGTCGATGGGCTCCAGGGCAAACGCCTCCTCTTCGTTGTGAACGAGAGTGGTCTGTTCTGTCTGGTCAGCCATGGCTGGCAGGGGTTCAGCTGGGCCCGAGTCTGGACTGTCTGGACCAGCTTGAAAAACAAAACCATAATTATCTTCAAAGTGGTAACGTATAGCACTTTGACATCAAATGTTACTTTTGTCTCTAGATCACTTACGCGACTGCAGGTTGTCAAAGTCGTCCTCATCATCTCCATGATCTGGAGGCATCATGACGCTTTCTGTGATAGCTGGGGGGTCGTCAAAGATGCCGCCTCCGTCCTCAGAGCTCAGCAGTTTGTCCACTGAAGAAGAAAAAAATCAGCTGTCACACTTCGAGAAATCTCACACAGAATAATTAACATCAGACTTAATGCCGCTCACCCAGCATCCCTCCATCACTGTTGCCCATGGAGCCATCACCGAAGTCATCGTACTCCATGTGGTTGGATTTGTCAGGGAGATTAGCTGGACCGGGCTCAGCCTCCAGCAAGAGGTTAGGGGCGGTGGCACCATGAATGATATCATCTTCAAATGTGCTGGCGTCACGCATCATTTCTCTGTCATCCATCCCAAAATCAGCTGTAGAAGACAGCAGATGGTTGGGCTCGCTTTTCTTCTGTACGGTGCCCTGAGGTCACTTCTGAGATGTGTGGGTCAACAAGAGTGCATCAGTTGTGTCTTACCAAAATCATTGTCCTGCAGGAGGTTAAGGTTTCCAACATCTTCCCTCATGGTGATCTCTTCCACTCTGCTCTGGTTCAAAGTGAACTGCTGAGCCACGTCAATGTCACTGTAGGAAAACACGCCAGAATTTATGTTTCCATCATAAAGTTGAACAAAATCTGCATCTCCTACATGACTGAGGGGAAAAAAACATGGGTAACAATAACACGTTACATGTGTGATGTAACATGGTTACAGTACAAGATTTGAAACTAAATGAGAGGTAGTAATAACTTTTATGAACAAAAGTTAAAGTCAACTTTATTGTCAAAACTGCAATATACATACACAGGATTGAAATTACATTACTCTCAGACCCCTGGTGCAACAATAACCATTTAACAAACATAAGCATAAAATTAAATAATAAAAGTATGATACTGTCCTAACTTGTAGTATAGCAGTATACAAATATATAAAAAAAGTATATCTATAAAATAAAATGAAGGTCCTGACATTGACATTTGTAGTAAAGTGGCAAAGCAGCATATGAAGTGAATGTACACAGTATATGTATGAAGTCTTTGATATTGGTATAGGTAAAGTGACATATGCAATAAGGCTAGTGAAAAATATAATGAAATGTATAATATATAAATATAATGAATAATGAAAAATATGTACTCTTACATTTTTGTTTGTATTAGTCAAGAAATCAACCAATAACTGAAAATCTGGTCAACTTACTCCAGATCAGGGAGTGGCTGGTCAAAATCATGGAACTCCTCAGGTAAAGTGATGGCATTGTACGCTGCCTCTCTGTTCTCCTCAGGTAGATCCACCACTCCTGAACACAGAAACCAGTAATACCGTTACGTTAATCACAAATGGGTACTCACACTTTTTTATATGATTTACCAGAGTAAAGCCTGGTTTATACTCCACGAGAAGTGACAAACTTGTGCCTCGCTGACATGGTGCATGATGAAAATTACGCATTTTTCTTCTCACACCACCCTTTAGATCTTATGTGTCAAACTCAAGGCCTGGGGGCCAAATGTGGCCCTCGCTGACATCTTGTCTGGCCCCCAAGATGATATGTGAAACATAAAATACTTTTTTCTCTTCAATTATTTCAGTAATCTTTGATTATGATGTCGAAAGCACAACAGAGAACATCAAATGAGACCAATCAAACTCTTGTTGAGGAACCTGTGACCAAGAAAAGATGTTGGGTATCTGATTTGAGTTAATGTAGTTTCTGAAATTGGCCCTTAGTTTGAGAAAGATTTTAATTTTGCCACCCTTTTGTAAGCGAGTTTGACACCCCTGCCTTAGATCCTGTTAGAACTCCTGTCAGAACGATCACCTCACAGAACTTAGTGGGCGTGTTCATGAGGACAAGTGTCTGCAGTGCTCTGCTCTACGCTGGACGAGGCTGTTAGAAAATAGACATCTTTAAAGTTGTTCCAGCCAAGAACTCACATAAGGAGATTGTGGACAAAAATTGTCCAGAGGAGACAGAGACAGGCAGCTCTCCTGGACTGTGCTGACTGAACGGGAGTGCACCTTGACTGGGCAGTGTAGGGGCAAGTTCCTGCTCCGTTTGTCAGACAGTTGCAGTCTCTTTGTGGCAAAATTTCAAATGAGTGCTTCTCTTTGGTTAACAGAAATATCAGAATTTTCTCCTTCATCAGAAACTGGAAAATAAACATCCACTCTGAAAACCGTGCTGTTTGTGTAGTTTTTGTTTAAGTAAAGAGTGCTGAAGTAGGAGGGGCTGAACAGGACTTCCCCATGCAGTTTCTCTTAAGAGTATAAACTTCCCAGGAGGAAAGACCATCCAACAGTCACATCAGTGATGTCTTGTGTCTTATGAAGAATGGCCAGGGCGTGACACTGCCACACTGCTGTAATGTCTTCTTACCTGGTCTGAAGGCCATTTTGATTTTGATGAAGGCTTCATTGCAGTCAGCAAGCAGGTACTTGGCCTTCCTGTGGTAGATTCTCACCACCCCAAGGAGCAAATGACCAGATGTTCGCAACGCCATCTTGACCTAGAAATGAAAGCACAAATACCAAATAAAAATACATACATTCACGTCATAAACAGCATCTACATCAACATAATGACTTTTCTAGGACACCAGCCCATGGAAGAACTGAAATTTAGATTAATTACATACCAACACTACCAGCAGCACCTAGATCAAGGGTCTGCAACATACAGATCTGGGACCACAAGTCCCTCTGCAATGGCTTTTTGTAGCTTTTACCAAAAACTATCATGGACAAGAATAATATTTACATTCATAACCACAACAGAAGAGACAAAGTTTTCTTGTCTGATTTTATGAAGGTGAATTATTTTTTTTATGAAAGGATAACACTAATACTACAAGAAAAACACAATGATCAGTTTGCATTAAAAGTTCACAAGCCACTGGATTATTTCAACTTCCAGCCACTTAAAGTAGACACGTTTTTCTCTAAAATCCACCAGAAAATTTCACATTTTTGGGGCAAGATGCTGAGGTGGGGGAAAAAAAAGATCTAGCAAAGCTTACTATACTGTCAGCATAAAAAAGGCATCCTACAAAAATATAGTGAGTCCTTCTGATAATGAGGAGTGCAAAACATATCTTAAAGTTAAAGAGAGGATTCTGCATTCATTAGCAGAAATTCAGAAAATCATATTGAGCAAATTAGTCTAGTATTTCTTAGGATGCAAGCATAATCTGCCAATTTCAACCGTCCCTGCCTCCCACCCCCAAAAAAAGAGATAAGGAGCAGAAAAGGCTCTTGACTGAAGGGTTGCAGACCCCATGGCCCATCATGGTCAGACACCAGTAAAATGAAGACAAAACCTTCTTACCTTTGGTGAGATGATGCTCTCCACACTGCTCTCCAGGTTGCACTCAAACACGTGGGCCTTGGTCAGCTTTTTGTCCCAGTGGGCCGCCAGCCAAATCTTGGCCAGCGGCCCACGCTTGCTGAGGACAAAGTGGGCGTAGAACATTGCCCCGGTTCTCCTGGTTCAAACACTCCCAACTGTGGTACGGTTTACCTGGTGAAAAGCATCATTAATATCTTTAGACAGCATGTTTAGAAAGCACACAGGCTGACTGAAACAGAGCAGTCAAATAAAAACCCATCATTCTACTGAAACAGGACAAAGCACACCAGATAAAATTAGTAAAGTCAATAAAAACAACTCGAAAGTGATCATATAAAGTCTATTTAAACACAAAATAACATATATTAAATAAATAATGCATATTAAACACACATAACATATTAAATCAAACAGTTATGTCTAGAATCAAATTCCAGAAAAAAACTTTTGTTTTATAGTATATATAGTCGAAGTTATTGCATACATGAAGAAAAAGAGTTATCATTACAGTAATAACATATATCACCAAATAGTAATAATGATCGTCAAAACATATAAATTGAGTAAAGTCCTACAGCAATCAGAATAATTTTAACAATGACTGATAACACTCCATGCCACACAAACCAGATAAAAATAATCCACTCTTCCTAAATTGAATAATAGTTTGTATGAAATTAAAGTGTATTAATTTCTCTCAGAAAGTGTTTTATTTAAACATGCACTTATTTATTATTTACAGGGGATAGCTGTGGCTGAGTGGTTAGAGCAGTCGTCCTCCAATGAGAGAGCTGGGGGTTCGAAACCACCTGCAGCCAAATGTCCAAGTGTCCCTGGGCAAGGCACTGAACCCCTCGATGCCTCTGTGTGTCCCACCGGTGTGTGAATGTGATCTAAAGCACTGATTAGTCTCTTTAGAATGATTTGTTCAATCATCTTTGTAGAGATCTAGTAGAGTGCTGTATGAATGGATAAATGAGGACACAGATTGAAGTGTAAAGCGCTTTGAGTGTCTTCAAATAAGACGCTAGTACAGTCCAGTTACCATTTCTCAGTAGAACAGCTCAAGTATTTTGATTGTTAAGCACAAAATATACAGCTTATTTGAACCGTTTGTTTAAGTTTTCTTAATGAGAATATACTTTAAATATCCATATGTGTCTATAAAACAATAAAATACCAAGGCAGGAGGTAAAAACTGTTATAAAAACAAACGCTGCCTCCATTCACGTTGATCCTGTTTCTCAGTCCCGGGCACGCATTGACTAAAAATACAGATTTCTGGGTAAATCAAGTTTTCCCTGTTGTAAAATACTACAACTTAGTGGTCGTTTTACACACAACGAAACAACCATTGGAGGTGAAAGGTATAGAAATCACTGTGTACTTAATGATGAATAATTGCGCCAAAAGGTGGGCAACGCCAGTAAATAGTCGGCGCCCATCGAACTAAATTAGCCGATGGCTAACTACAAAGAGAAACGAATTTGTTAGCGGGCGAGTGAAGCAGATTATTTTAAGCGTATTTTTTTTTCACGCTACGTTAATATATTCATGTATAAACATTTACTAACAACAGTAAAAAGCACGCTGGAACAAGGGGGTGCTCGATTCATGCTCGTACTTTCCCACCCCCCTCCTCTCTGTCACTACAACACTCTTGTTAGCCGGTGGCCAACGGCTGCTCGCACAGCGAAGGCCGCAACGACTAAAACTCACCTTACACGCCTATTTCTTCCCATAAAACACACAAACCTGTGCGCAAGTGCTCCCGCTGCAAACACACTTACCCAAAGTGTCCCTCTCAGAGTGAAATCACAACGATTAAGTAATTTCTCCCAGCAAATGCTCCCCTGTTGTACTCATTAAAGCAGCCAAGATGGCGCCAGCCGCCTTCCTCCCGCTCAGCGCTGTCCTTTTAAAATCAGCAGGATGTTTACAGTCAAAAAACGGCGGAGGAGGAGCCAAGCGTGGCGGTGTGTAAGGCAAGCCGGCTGGTCATATAACACAAATACATGTTTTACTTTTTTTTTTTTTCCTCTTAACAAAAATACTGTAACGTCCTGTTAACTTGTTTTTGGCTTCAAATATTCAAATTACATTCCCCTATTTTAAAATAAATGAGCAAAATAAATAGCCCTTGAGCCACCTCTGTGGCATTCTCATACAAAAATCAAACAACTTTAAATGTATTGATAAAAAATCAGGATTTAAGTATGGCTGCTGGGGGCACTTGTAACAATGAGAGTACATTTGAACTGAAACAGACTACACATTTGCCTTTTCAAGGTCACAAATTGTGCTACAAAAGAAAAAATATAAAATATAAAAAAAAGAGGCTAGATCTAGCTTTACTTTTAGTCCAGAGTTGATGAATTAACAGTCACAAATGTCAAATCACATGCTGAACAACTGTTTTTTTCTACAAAACAAAATAAAATAAAAACACATCAAAATGAAACTCTGACACATCTTTTTGAAGTAATGTACATAAAGCTATTAATTATCAACTAAAACACAACAAATGTTAGACTAATTGTGACAATCCTTTTCTTTGTGCTTTTGTGCAGATGATGGGATGTTGTATAAAGACTTTTCTCGTGTTTCAGTTTAATTTGTTGCCTTTTCATTCCATTAACATTGTCAGAATTACCCTCTGGGTAAATAAATCGCAGTCCACAACAATCCAGGTCACTGATTTTATTTTTATGGGATGAAACAAAACAAAAAGCTCATTGTCAATTTTTTAAAAGATTTTCAGATATCTTGATTTTAGTTTTTTCTTTATCAATCTCAGTTTTGTGGAGCATTTAAAATACAACTTTTACTGATATAAATGTTATTTTTAATTGATTGCTTTTCTATTCTGATAAAGAAAATTGTCACTGACTAGGATAAAGTTAGTTTTAAAAAAAAGGTTTCGTCTAATTATGTGCTACAACAGCCTGCTGAACTGATAGACGGCCTGCTGTTACCTCAACAAAGAGATAGGGGGCGCTGTGACACAAAACCCACTTCTAAAACACCTCAATAAATAATCAAATAAATACGCATATATCCAAAATAAATCCATAAATCCATCGTGCGAGTCATATTTACATAATATATTTAATTATCAATATCTTTAGAGATTTTATTGTGCTTACCCTAGATAAAGTCACATTTCCTACACATTTATTAAAAGTAATGGTGTTAAACCATTTTTATTTCCCACTTTGATGTTTCACCTGTTCCTTTATGTTAAATGAAATGTTTTATGACATTTTACCATAGATAACCAGGTCTACTGTGACTCAAATCTCATGCAACAACTAGTTACATAGTTTAATGATACCATACAAAACAACTGCATTTTATTTATAAAGCACTTAAAACAGCAACAAGGCCAAACAAAATGTCAAAAGCCAGAGAATAAACGTGGGTTTTTAAGTGAGACTTAAAAACAGTGAGAGAAGAAGCCTGTCTGACATACATGTCGGTTACTACTTTGTACATGTTTATTCATTCCACAGTCTTGGACCTGCAACAGAGAAGAGCTGTCACATCTGAGCTTAAGACGGGTTCCTGGGACCAATGTCTGGTCTGTTGAACTCAGAGAGCGCTGTGGGACATATGGCTGCAGCAGATCCGTGAGATAAGAAGGGGCAGGACTGTTCAAAGATTTAAAAACATACAATGATATACATAATGATGACTTATTATTATTATTATTATTATTATTATTATTATTATTATTATTATTATCCATCCATTATCTTTTACCCACTTCTTCCATTTTGGGTCACCCGGTGCCCATGTCCAGCAATCACTGTGCGAGAGGCCGGGTACACCCTGGACAGGTCGCAAGTCCATCACAGGGCCACATAGAGACAAACGAGACAAACAACTATTCACTCTCTCACTCACACCTAGGGACAATTTAGAGTTACCAATCACTCTAACCCGCATGTTTTTTGCCTGTGGGAGGAAACTGGAGTACCCAGAGAAAACCCATGCATGCATGAAGAGAACATGCAAACTCCACCCAGAAAGGCCCCCGGACCGGGATTTGAACCAGAGACCTGTTCGCTGAGAGGCAGCAGCTCTACCAGTATTATTATTATTATTATTATTATTAGTATTATTATTATTATTATTATTATTATTATTATATAAGAGTGTCAAGGTATACATCAAAGTTGTGTGCACTATTTCAAAATGTCTAGAGACTTAATTAATTATTGATAAATGAATGGATCAGTTTGGAAGTAAGAGGCGGTTAAAAGGAATTCAGAGAGTAGAAAATAACCAAACATGCGTGCAGGGAACAGAAGCCTCCAAAACCAAATTCCCAGATCCAGAAAGGAGAAATCTGCCTAACAGACAGAGTGACTCATTTACAATCAACTTGTGAAATGAGTGCACACACACACACACACACACACACACACACACACACACACACACACTGACAGAGCAAAGCAAAGAGGATTTGTCTCATGGGCATCTGTTGCAGTCAAACTGCTGCCAGTTGAGCTTGTTTATAATTTACAATCCTCAGAGCTCCTTGTCACTGTGTGGGGAAGATAATGAGGCAGCGGTATGTTAAATTTAGCTCTTATACATGCGACAGAATTAGTTCAGTTCACCGAACATCCATGCAGAACCGGATGTTTAGTCTTGCTCAAAGAATTTGTCCATATAAAAATGTCCTGAGATGACTTGTTGTCATGAATGAAATGATTAAAGCTGCATGAAGTCAACATGCAGATAACCAGTCCTTATAATGCATCCTGATGATTTGATAAATACCACCCTAAAGAGAAGTGTTACATCATCACCCTGTGTGGTGCAAAATGATTTAGAGGAACTCATTCACCTTTAATCTTTTCACAAAGGAGACAGCTCCATTATTAATACATTTAAATGCTATTTTGGATTTCACTTACAAATGGATAAATCAGAGCGTTTATGTTCCAGATGTGTGCAGCATGAATGGATAAACTGGTCCAGTCGAACAGAGCGCTGCCACTTGACGTTTGTCGAACGAGGTGATTTTATCTGCAGGAGTTTGATGTTATCAGGCCACCGGTGTGTCTGAAGTGCCTCACAGGAACCAGCTGATGGTTCCCTGCTTCAGACGAGCTGTGCCTCACATTATCTGTTCACATCACAGTAGGACCATGAAGTCATCTGCATAAAGTAAAACATGTCACGCTTCGGACGGACGCAGACTCAACACAACCAACAGAATGCAGAAAGTGAAGATGCAAATTATTTTATGGCAAGAGGTAAATTATTTAGAGCTATAGTCATAACATGCTAAATTATACCTGAACAATGAAACCATTTATTTCATTAATTATGCAGTTAAAATGAGAATACATACTTTTGGCAGAAGAACACTGAAGGACAAACTAGATGAAAATGGACAAAACTCCACAAGAGTTCACTTTAAAAATGAGATTTTGGCAAACTGAGGAAGAAAACTGAGCTCTCTGGAGCTCTGGAGCTGAAAGTTACAGAAACATGTTTCATAGTTTAAACGGGTCATAAAAAGTTGACCTTTCTGGGACTGAGTTAGCCTGTTGACAAAATTAGTTTAATTCTACAGAAAGTTAAACTTATTGTGTCACAGATGCATTTTGAGATGATTAAACTTTCCCTTTTTGGCTAACTCCTCAAGGATTCAAGGTTCTTATATGTCATACGCATCAGATGTGGTACATGTGGTGGAACAAAATCGAGTACACAGGGTCCCATTTACATCCAACAAAAGTATAAAATGTAAAAGAAAAACAGTAATAAGATCTAAGATGTGATCTAAGAAAAATGTTGACTAGAAATACACTAAGCACTAGTAGCATAAAAACAATAGGCATAACAGCAGCACCAACATGAGTCTGTGTGAGCCGATGAGTATGAATGAACGCAGCAACATGAAACAAATCAGGATGCGAGTTTTCACAGTGATTATCCTGGTTAGATATTCATGAGTCACAGTCTCAGGGTAGAAGCTGTTCCTCAGTCCAAGGGTTCTACACTTAATGCTCCTCCACCTCCTGAATGAGGGGAGCAGGACAAAAAGTGTGTGGGTGAGTGGGGTCCTTCATGATGCAGGTATACATATATACATACATATACATATGTATATATACATATATATATATATATATATATATATAAATATATATATATATATATATATATATAAATA